CAGGTTTCCTGACAACCAGTCCAGAGCATGTGCCAGAGACACTGCCCCCGCCAGCTCCTCCACCAGTGTCCCTTCAAAGGCTCCAGCCCAGGATGAGGGGCACCCCACTGGTGGGGAGGGCAGTCAGATACAGCTGAAGAGTTCAGCTCTCTCTTCCAAGTGCATGGCAGACCTTACTCTCCACTTTCCTCCCTCGTTCCTTCCCCAGGAAGGAGGAAGGAAAGATTCATTCCACCCCTGTTTTGTGTCCACTGCAGACAGCTCCCCTCTCTCTCTTCCTGTTTTTCTCAGCAGACTGGAAGGAAAAGTATCCAGGAGCCCAAGTTCCAAGCCCCACATGGTACAGACAATGTTTGATGTTTCAGCTAACACCTCCACGACCCACTGCCCCCCAGTCTGTCTTCCAGTGGCCCTAAAGCTTTCACCATCCCTCACCTCAGCAGGGGCATCCCTTGGAGATGCCACTCTCAACTGCTTCTCCTACCTGTAGGGCCTCTCCCTGGGGGCTTGGAGCTGTCTCCTTCCTCCAGCTGAAGCGGCTGCACTCCCGGGCTGTCTTTAAGCCCCTGCGGCTTCTAGCCCCCAGCTCTTCAGTCCCCGCTTCCCCTCCCCCTCCCCCTCCCCCCAACCCCTCCACCAAGATCCTGGGGCTGCAGACGAGCATTGTTTACTGTCCTGTTGGTACAACACTCTCCCCTGGACTGGGAGGCTCGGATTTCCCATGGAGATCTGGCAGGTGGCACCTTTCAATCACAGCCAGTGCCTCCTGCCTGACACCGGGCAGCATGTGTCCTGCGATCATCTCCCTTCCCGCTGTACTCCCCTGGCCCTGGCAACTCCCCAGACCATCTGCAGGCCCATTTGGAGCATGGTCACCAGCTGTCTGGCCTTCCCTGCCCATCCAGAGCCCAGGCTAGGCCTTCTCTGCATCCCCCCCCACCACGTTCCTTTAAATAGTCCCTTTTACCCTTCCTCAGACTAAAGCAGCTGCGGAAGGGTGGGCTAAGGAGGGGTGTAGGGGCCACAGCTGCGGAGGTGGCGATGTCTCTCAGGGCTCCCACTTGACGGGGAGCGGCTGTGGAGAGAGAGAAGAGTGATGGCCCAAGCTGATGGGTCGCTGCACTGAGTCTAGGAAATACATTTGGAACTGAGGCGACGGGTACACAGGAGGCTCTGAACAGATTTTTGTGCTCAATCGAGATTTTGCTCAGGAAGACGGAACACCTTTACCTCCTGTAGGTGTCCTGTGATCTAAGAAAGGTACTACTTTTGGAGAATGCGTGAGAGGCTTGTGACTCCCCCTCCCCCTCCCCACTGCTTCAGCAACACTGGCCTCCTTCGTATCCCTCCGATGAGTCGATTCCTTTCCGTACTCAGGACTGTAAACCGTTCTGCTTCTGCTCTTTGCAAGGCTGGTTCTTTCTCATTCTCCTGCTCTCAGCTCAAATTTCATTTCCACAGAGAGGTCTCCCATGTCCTTGAGATCCTCTCCATCGCTTCTGCATATTTTATTTTCTTATGGAATATGGATTGGAATCCAAAGTTATCTTATTTATTTCCTTGTTACCTGACTTTCTCTCTAGACTCTAAGCTCCACGAGGGCAGGGACTTTGTCATGTTCATGGCTGTATGCCCAGGGCCTAGCAAATTGCCTGGGTCATATGAAGTGCTCAATAAATGGATAGCGAATAAATAAATAATTTAATTAGTTAGTAGAAATATGGAACGGGAATTTGGGGGCCTGTTCCTGGGATGATCTGTAAGCCAGGTTTGGGTACCAATGGTTGAACAGTGCAATATTGTTGGTTGCCAGCTGCATTTAGTGATAAGATGTCTGTAATTTTAAGGGCATTGTGGGGGGCTTCCCTGGTGGTGCAGTGGTTGAGAATCCGCCTGCCAATGCAGGGGACACGGGTTCGAGCCCTGGTCCGGGAAGATTCCACATGCCGCGGAGCAACTAAGCCTGTGTACCACGACTACTGAGTCCGCGTGCTGCAGCTACTGAAGCCTGTGCTCCTAGAGCCTGTGCTCCACAACGAGAGAAGCCACCGCAATGAGAAGCGAAGAATAGCCCCTGTTCACCACAACTAGAGGAAGCCCGCGCGCAGCAAGGACCCAATGCAGCCAAAAAAAAAAAAAAAAGAAAGAAAAAGAAAGAAAAATACTGTCATTGTGCAAAAAAGACTTCATCCGTTAAAGCTACAATTAGATGAAGAAAATATGGCTAAATGTTGACAACTGTCAAATCTTGGTGTTGGGTGATTAATATGTGGAAGTTCAATATATTGTGCTCTCCACTTCTCTGTACTTTAAAATTTTTCCCTAATAAATAAAAATCTAAAACAAAAAGATTCATTTTTATTGCGCATCTGTCATGGGCTAGGTGCTTTAAATACAATATCATTTTTATCTTTTTGTTTGTTTTGTAATGATTTTTAAAACTTTATTTTGAAATAATTATAGGTTTATAGGGAGTTGCATAAATAGTACAGAGAGGGTACAGAAGGTCAAATTTTACTTGAGACTTATCCACTGAAGGCTAAATCTTACATAACTATATGCAATATCAAAGCCAGGAAATTGGCATTGGTACAATGGCATGTATACTTCTGTAACAGCTTAGATTTGAATAAACACCTTCTCCCACAGTCAGGGCACAGAACCAGTTTCATAACACAAAGATCTCCCTTGTGCCATCCCCTTAGGCACAACTCCTTCCCTCCCCCCACCAACTCTAACCCTAGGCAACCATTAATCTCTTCTCCCATCTCTATAATATTGCCATTTTGAGAATGTGATTTAAATGGAATCATACAGTATGTAACCTTTCATAAAACCTAACAAAAATCCCATCTAGGAAGCAGATTCCTCTCTTAAGAACCCATCTCCTTTTTCCATGAAATTTCTTAATGCTCCATAATATGTTGACTAGATTCTCAAAAGTAAAAACCAGGATAACATATATAGAATAATATACGTGGCAGCATTATCATAATAGCCCCAAACTGGAAACAACCCAAAAGTCCATCGGTAGGAGGATAAATGAACTGTGGCTTATTTATACAATCAAACACTAGACAGCCATAAAAAAGAATGAATTAGAGATACACACAATATGGATGAAATCTTACGGATGCTACATTGAGCTAAAGAAGTGAGGCACAAAACGATGTATAATTTCATTTACATGAAGTTCAAGAGTAGGCAGAACTAACTGATGGTGATAGAAGTCAGAATAGTGGCTCACTGCAGAAGAGGGAGTATTGACTGGGAAGGAACATGAGATAACTTTTTAAGGTGCTGGAAATATTTTGTATCTTGATCTGGGAGATAGTTATAAAAATGAATATATATTTAAAAATTAAGCTTGTGTATTTTACTACTTTACTATCTGAATGCTATACCTAAATTTTAAAGTATCAAGGCACAGGGTCTGACAAAGAAGTTTGAGTCCTTAGAGCAGTAATGAGGCCAATATTTAAAATTGGGACTTCCTTAGGGAAGCATATGGTGACCAGCCATATAAAGTGTCTAGCCCACCTTCTCCTATGGGCAGTGTAACACTGCATTATTAATTTGCATCTTCTAAATTTCGTTTACTGGGAAATCCCTTGAAAAATCCAGGGATTGAGGTGGGTTTTTCTTGGGGGGGGGCGTTGCGGGAGGGGGGCGTGCAGACCGAGGAATACATTAAGTCTTGAAAGATGAAGAGCTCACAAGTACCGTCTTCCTCACCCAAACACACTAGGTCAGCTCTGGTGGCAGTCACAGTGGTCCTATTCATCTCTTTAGGGCCCAGGGCGTCTAACAGAAGCTGACTAAAACATACTGTATACTTGACTCATCTTTCTGCAAGCAGGAACCGTGCCTCGCTTGTCTCTGCAACCCCAGAGAAAGTTTAGTGACCTACACACAGCTGTGTTCACACAAAGGGCCTCTGAGCATTGGTCCTCAAACTTGGCTGCACATGGGAATCACCTGGGGAGTTTTAAAATGTACTGATGCCTGGGTCCTACTCCCAGGGATTCTGATTTAATTGGTACGAAGTGAGCCCTGCGCTTCGGGATTATTTTAAGCGTCCCAGGTGACCTTAAGTACATCACAAACTGAGAGCTGCAGTTTGCCGGCATTCTTCCTACTCCGCGCCTTATTGGCGCTCTGGCCTCGGCTCTCCGGAGGTGAGGGCGAGGTTCACTGAGTTCTGGGGTCCTGCCCCTCTTACAGAGCCAATAAACTCAAATCTCTCCGTGACACCCCTAAAGACAAGAATTCTAACCAGTCTGCAGGCGCTCTGCGCCCCGCTCAAGCCTCTATGGTATTTTGGAGTCCTCTCTAGCATTTGGGAGACGCCTTAGCCAGGGCCAGCAGCTCCCTCTCTATGGTAGCGGATTTTCCCGCGCCGCCTCGTTGGTACTTCATTCCGGAAGCGCGTACGGATCAGAGAAGAGGCGGGACTTCTCTCTCGGAAGTGACCCAGGTGCTTCCGCCCTATCCTACCTGAGCGCCCGGTGAGTTTCTAGTGTTTACCCGAAGTTGGGGACATAGGGGGCGTTGTGGCAGGCCCCAGGCCGTGGTGAGTGACGTCTGATCTCAAGGTGATCCTGATGATGGCGCCGCCATTTCAGAGGTGTAGACTCTGGGCTGGGGCCCGGGGGCCTTAGTCCCGCGTATGATCGAATTCTTAGGGCTCCTCAGGTTCATGCTCCGTTCCGGTCTCCCCTTCTTCTCCTGGATAGAGGTGACCTAGAGGGATTGGGAGTCAGGGCTCCGGGGCTCGATTTCCAGCCCCGCCATTGACATGTTCTGTAACCTTGGGCTAGGCAGCGTCCCCCTTCTTGGCCTCAGTTCCCACATCTGTGAAATGGGACGTTTGAATTCACTGAGGTCAGTGGCCCCTGCTGGTCTGATGCCCTCTGATTCCTCCACATCCTCCAGCCCCTGCGATGGGAAGGTGAATGGGAGGGGTGGGTGCTGACCATGATGTCTGCCCCCAGGATTAGGAGGCCAGAGGGAGACCTCTTCCACGGTGCAGGGCTGAAATGGACCCGCTTAGGGCCCAGCAGCTGGCGGCAGAGCTGGAGGTTGAGATGATGGCTGATATGTACAACAGGTAAGGGCTGATTCTGCACTGCCTTGTCTTAAAGAATCATCCCAGGTCACTCTTGGCAAGGCAGAGGTGGATAACTTCTGAAGATTATTTTCCTCATTCCGGGGAAAACTGAGGCCCGGGCTTACCCTCCCAGCACCCCCAACTCCCGCCCCATGCTTAAGGGCTAATGCAGACGCAGTGTGGGGTCACTAGAAGGAACTGGGCATTTAGGCTGGGATGGAATTGGCGACGTAGGAGCTGAGCAGGAAGAGAAGGTCCCGTCCAGGCTCTGGTTGTGTTCCAGGAAGAGTAGAGCATTTGCCTTGTGACAAATAGCACGTAGCCCACTTAGTAGTCAACATTTCTTAAACTCTTAATCCATCTCAGACACATGCTGAACATTTTATATGCATTATCTGTTTTTAAAGGTGAGGACATTGAGGTTTCTAGAGGTTAAATAACTCTCTCAGGGTCCACAGCTGGTCAGTAGCAATGTCAGAACCAGTAACTCAGTCTGACTCCTAACTAATGCCCATAACCATCTGGCAAACTTGGGAACAAATCGTAGCTGCACCAACCACCACTACTATGGCCTTGGGCAAGTTACATGGACTGTTAGACCAGTGGTTTCCCCATCTGTAAAGTGGAGTTAATAATAGTACCTTCCTCACAGAGACATTATCAATATTAAATGTAAAAGTATATGACAAGCTCTTAGCATTAAGCCCAACACAAGTCAGGTAAGCAGTCAACAAATATTTGCTATTTTTATTGGCTTGTCTGGTATCCTCCCTAGATTAGTTGTTTTATCTTGGAGGCTATTTATCAGAATAATTTTTAAATGTAGGCTGTAAAGTCAGGCCACCAGGGTTCATAGCCCAGCTTTATGTGATCCTGAGGCTCTCTGTGCCTTCATTTCCTTATCTGTAAAAAGGGGGATAATGATTGTGCCTACCTCTTAGGATTATCGTAAGAACTGCATGACAGAATCCATGTCAAGCACTTAGCACGATGCCTGGAACATAGCTGGTACTCAGCTAATGGTTCCTCTTTGATTAGTCATAAACACGGCTAATGGTTCCTGCTCTCAAGGATCTTCCAAGATAGTTGAGGTGCAAACTGAGGATTTACACTGCCTTCTTGGGAGGTGAAATCAGTATAGCAGGGCAGGAATGGCTGAGGGTTCCTGGTATGCCACAGGAGGCTGCTGACCTGACCTTGCCCTTCCTTCTTTCTAGAATGACCAGTGCCTGCCACCGGAAGTGCGTGCCTCCCCACTACAAGGAAGCAGAACTGTCCAAGGGCGAGTCTGTGTGCCTGGACCGGTGTGTCTCCAAGTACCTGGATATCCATGAGCGGATGGGCAAAAAGTTGACAGAATTGTCTATGCAGGACGAAGAGCTGATGAAGAGGGTGCAGCAGAGTTCTGGGCCTGCATGAGGCCCCAGGCAGTACACCGTAAGGTGCACCCTGTCCTTTCCCACTTGTCTAATAAAAGTGCCCCCACTGGGTGTCATCTGTGAAGACTGCCAGGCCTAGGCTCTTTCTGGAAAGTCTCCAGGAGCCCAGGGTATGATGGAGCTTTTTCCCGGTCGGAGAAGGGGTATTTGTCACACTGGCATGTGACTGTGTGTTTATATATATTATATATTAAAACAAGTTTGTTGACACCTACAGTGTGCAAAGCAGTGTGCCTGGCACTTGGGAGTAAAGGCAGCAGACACAGCCTCTACCAGCAGAGGGAGTCTAACGTAGTGTTTAAAAGCATAGACTGGTACCATGGCTTAAGTTTACATTCCACGTCAGCCACTTGCTGTGTGACCCTGAACGTGTCATTTCACTGTGCCTAGCTTCCTCATCTGTAAAGTGGGGAGAATCAGGGCTGTTGTGAAGATTAAATGAGTAAATATAAATAAACTATTTAGAATAATGACTAGGCCGTAGAAAGTGCCCAGTATATATTATTTATGTCTAACAACTTAACATCAGGTGCAGGCAGGCATTTTCCTCAGTGATATAAAGGAATGATTTAGAGGAGAGAGTGGAAAGTGGATGGAGCCTAAGCATGAAGTAGGCAATATCGAAACATGTGAAGGGACCCAGCTTCACGTGTGATGTGTGCGATCCAGGGAGGGGACCGAGTGATAACCACTGCCATTCAGTGTCTGCCTGAATCTGAATCAGGGACTGCGCTCCTCACTCTTCGTGGGGAATCCAGTCTCATCCACTCAGCAGGCCAGAGGCCCTGTTAGGAAATGGGGGCTCAGAGAGGTGGTTGTTTGCTGGAGGTCACAGGCGAGGAGCACTAACGGAGGTCGGGTGGACGGCTCGCGGGGGAGAGGCCGCATCTACTTCCTGTCCTGAGGGTGCCCTTGGAGAACTGCAGTTCTCAAAATGTAGGGTTCACTGCAGAAGGAATTTTGGTTGACGCCAGTGCCACTGGTAGCAGTGCCTTCACAGCAGAGGGAGGTGTCTGGGATGTGACTTCACCAGGTCATTGGGCTCACAGGAAAGGAGACGGTAGAGGCAGTGAGTTTCAGCCTTAAAAGTACAGGTTCAGGGAATTCCCTGGCGGTCCAGTGGTTGGAACTTTGCGCTTTCACTGCCGAGGGCCTGGGTTCATTTCCTGGTCAGGAGCTAGGATCCTACAAGCTGTGCAGTGTGACCCCCCAAAAAAACCCAGGTTCAAGTCAGACCACCTGGGATGAAATTTTCTGGCTGTGTGATCACGGGTGAGACATTTGACTACTCTGTGCCTCAGTTACCCTATCTATAAAGCGATAAAATACCTGCTTCATTGAGTGGTTGTGAAGATTAAATGTGTTAATAACTAAAGCACTTAGGAAAGTGCTGAATTCTCCCACGTTGAATACTCAGTAATGTTAGCTCTTTTTTTTCTTTCTTTTTTTTAATTGCTAACTTTGATGTAAGGAGTCTCGGGACAGACCCCCTGAAAACTTCAAAACTATTGTCCATCTACCTTAAGGGTGGGCAGACCTAATGCTCCTTTCTAGGTACTGAAGTGCCAACTTGGGTCAACAGGTGGCGCTGTCTGCTCACGGGAATCAGCACTGCTGTGGCCAGTTTACAAATGTGTATTATTGGTGTATTCCTTGCGGCCGTTGTACTAGGAAGAGCAGAGTGGTGAGGAAAACAGGTATTGTACCTGCCCTCAGGTTTAGCAAGGAACGTCAGAAATTTTCCGAGCACATAGCTGGAACATCTAGAAGGGGTGGTAGAGAATGGAGAGAAGAGGTTCCAGCTCGACAGAGAGCACTTGCAAAAGCTTTGAAGTGGCAGAGAGTGTGGAGCAGTGAAGAAAGCTCTGGAGTGCCAAGTGGGAAGGGACGTAGTGGCGAGAGATGAGACCTGCCCGAGGGCTGCGCAGTCGCAGCTCCAAAGCGCCTGATGAGCTGAGTTAAAAGAGTCTGGATTTTCTCCAAAGGGCATCCGCAAACTGTTGAAGGATGTAAACCCTAGCAGTGAAAATGACAGATCTGCATTTTAAAGCTCCCTCTAGCTGTCAGCCAGGTGGATAGTGGTAGATGATGGCTTAATGGATTTAGGGGAGACATGCCAGGGAGCTGGTGAGGAAACAGGGGGATGATGCCAGTAAGAATAGCTATCGAGTTGCTACATTGTGCTGATGAGTATATTATTTCAGATAAAACTCATAACTCTGAGGCAGGTACCATTATTCTTATACGTGAAGAAGCTGAGGCTCTGAAAAGTTAGTAACTTGCTGAATGAAGGTCATACATCAAGCAAGTGCTAGAGCCAGGATTCCAGCTAATTCAGACACGAGCGCCCACTTTTACCCGCCCCTCTAGGATTGGAGTGCGGGTGTGGGTGGGGCAACGCTCCCTGATGTCAGCCATGACGTATTTTATTGAGCAGTAGTTACTGTTGGCTTGCTGCATGCAGAGAGCTGTAGAAAGTGTGCAAGTGAATTAACTAGGTCCCTACCTTCAGTGAACAAGTGTGGCTGTTGGGAGGGTGGGCATAGGAGAGATGGAACAAACACATAGAGTAGCAGAATAGGTTAGGCCTTTTCCGCCATCGAGAAGAGTCAAAAACTGCTCACGTGTGTGTTTGCTAGATTATCAGTTTCATTTATTTATTTTCTTAATATGTATTTATTTTTGGCTGCGTTGGGTCTTCGTTGCTGGGCGTGGGCTTTCTCTAGTCGCGGTGAGCGGGGGCTACTCTTCATGGCGGCGCGCAGGCTTCTCATTGCAGTGGCTTCTCTTGTTGCGGAGCACAGGCTTTAGAGCGCAGGCTCAGTAGTTGTGGCGCACGGGCTTAGTTGCTCTGCGGCGATTATCAGTTTTAAAAACCGGGAAGTGTCTCATAAAAATCAGGACTTTGGCTTCTTTTGAAAAGTTAGAAGATCTGACAAGTCAGCCTACATTCCTG